CAGTCAGCTCCTCTGTTTTCCATTACATTGGCTGATGAAGACACCCGGAGGAACTCATTCATGAGCCATGTCCCTCACCAGACACTGAACCCGCCAGAGTCGTCATCTGAGAGATTCTTAGTTCCACACCACCATGATTATCTGTCCTTAGGCCACTCTTCCAGTTTTACCTCGTAACATGCCTTGCTTTGAGAAAGTTGACTCTTTTTTTTTCTAGTATATTTCATCTGATACTGTAAACTTCTGCAGTATTGGCTTTGCTTTGTTTCTGTTTGTGTTTGTGATATTGGAGAATGGATGGGCCCAGGGCCTCCCACTTGCTAGGCAAGTGCTTGGCCATGGAACTGCAGCTCCTACCTAACAGTTGCTTTTCTCATTATTAATATTTGTTCAAAAGATTAGGTTTGTTTGAGATGAGTGCAAAATAGAAGTGCAGTCTAAATATTTGAGGGCGCAACTGGGTCTTCTAGAATAAAGGGCAATTTCTTGCCAACTTTATTGTTAAAAACATATTTAAAATCAATTTCTTCAAAAAAAATCAATTTCTTTAGCTGGGTATGGTTGAACACCCCTTTAATCCCACAAGGCAGAGGCAGGTGGATAGATTTCCATGAGTTCAAGGCTAGCCTGGGCTACATATGGAGTGAGTTCCAGACAAGCCAAGGCTACATGGTGAGACACTGCCTCAAAAAATAAAAACAGAAAAATAAACAAATAATGAATGTCTTCAATTTAATAGAAATTTAATCACCAACTTGTGTTTATCCACTATAAGAAGTGTTAGCTGGGCAGGGCAGACAGCTCAGTGTATAAAATTTTGGCTGTGCTCACACAAAATCTGGAGTTTGGATGCAGAGTGGACATAAAAACCAGATGGGTGTGATAGCTGCTTTTAATCCCAGCACTTGGGTAGCAGAGACAAGTGATTCCTGAGGCAAGCTGACTAGCCAGAATCAGCAAATTCTATATTCAATGAGTGGAGAGCGATGGAGGAACACACCCAACTTCAACTTCAGCCATTCCCACACATAGTCCCATGCATACATGTGTATACATGCATGCTCCCACACACGTGAGTACATGAACGTGGAAAATGTATTATCAAATCTGCACCGTTGAATGGTATTTCACTGTTACTTTATATTTTTTTAATCTAAGGTGCCATTAATCTAAAAATACACCGTCAATACATGTGTCACTATGAAAGAGAAAACTTTTGATTAAAATACACAATGCAACCAATTGAAAAATGCTCTCTAATTTTGAAGATAGAAGAGTCTACTGCATACATATCCATCGAATTAGGACATACCCGTCACGTCATTATGAACTGCAAGCCACTAAGGGCATTCCTATTGACTATCCCTTTAGGGTCCCCAAGTCTCCTCTCCTTTGCATAATGTTTTCATAGTAAAACAAAATTCTAGAGTGATTTTGACACTATTGAATTCATTTACGATGATTCTGAAGTTGGGGGTCACATTTAAACATCTTTACACATAGCATGTCTTCATCTTAAGGAACAGTTAACCTTTCTTCCCCCAGTGGAAATCTCGTGTGAATATTCCGAATCTATGTGCATTCTGTTGTAATGCCCACTAGGGCAAACTCCGTTAGAGCTATTTATCAAACAGCTGGAGCTTCTGGGATAGGCCAGTGAGATGGCACAGTTGAAATCTAGACAATCCCAAACAATTCAGAATGTAGACTCCCTATATCAGGGGTGTTAGTCACCGATGAGACTGCCGCAAGCTCAGCCTCTGAGAAATGCACATTCCAAACGGGAAGAGTTGCCAGATGTGACCAGACCTCCATCATTTCCTTGAGACCGAATTCTTATCACAGGGTTGGACCCGCACACAGACCACAGAGCTGCTTCCATGACGAGAGGGTCATCTGAGGGTCATCAAATCTATCCTCACTGTCCCCAAGTCCTCCACCTCCTGGCTGACTCCAGTGTCTTTGCATGACCCCTCTGAGGTGTGGGGGGGGGCTACCTCCTGAGTCTTTGTTTCTGGAGCGATACATTTTAGCCTGGCTTGGAGCCACACAGGGTCTTGAGAGAAGTAGTCTTTCTAGGTGCTCTTCATCACAAGAATGCAGAGGCATTCATATAGCCTATCCCATAAAGGAGGGACAGCTTCTGGGAACAGTTGCTAGGAATTCAAAGCTGCTCAGAGTACGACATTACCCCAGAGAACACCCCATGACCGAATGCTCAGGGTGAGTCAGTCTCTGTCTGCACATCCGCTCCATGCTATCTCTAGCCTACAACATACTTGCAAGTCCAGACTCGGGGAGAGCTGGCGTGGTGTTGATATAACTAATGACATTACCCTAATTGAGTAAAGTCCTTCTTGCCTGGCCACAGATGGATCAGCATGGGCCATACAGGAGTTATCTTTGGCCCAGATGTTGCTTCAGACCAACCAGCACAACACAGCCTAGAGCCATTTTCTTTAGTGGTGGACTATCTTTGAGCTGATTCTAGCTAGAAGACTCTGTGCAGAATTGGAAGTGTCCATACCAGGTGCAGTGATAGGAGAAGGTAGCCTAAAAAAAAAAAAGACACCAATACTCAAGCAAAAGGAAGAAGTAGGTAAGAGAATCATGGGTGACCTTTGTCATTGAGATCCTGTGGTTCACACACCATCAAAATGCTCTGAAGTTCGTGTGTGTGTGTGGGTGGGCGTGTGTGGGTGTGTGTGTGGGTGTGGGTGTGTGCGGGTGTGTGTGTGTGTGCGTGCGTGTGTGTGTGTGTGTGTGTGTGTGTGTGTGTGTGTGTGTGTGTGTGTGTGTGTGTTTGTGTTATGCATGCCTGTGTGCAGATGCATTCACCCATGTACACATGACTCTGGAGGCCAGAGTTCAGCATTGGATGTCTTTCTTCATCACTTTCTACCTTAGTTTTTGAGGTAGGGTCTCAAATTTGGAGTTCATCATTTCAGCTAGATTTGCTGGCCGGTGAGCCCACTTCCCAGTGCGAGGATTGTAGGTGCATGCTACCATGTCTGGCTTTTATGTGGGTGCTGAGGGTCTGAACCCATGACCTCAGGACTATGCAGCAGCATCTTAACCACTGAGACATCTCTCCTGCCACTGAAGACTATTATTTATGAATGAGATGTTGGGTTGGGTGCAGCTCAATGGTAAAACACCTGCGTTGTATAGGAATGGTTCTGAGTTTGACCCCCTAGCCCTGCAAAAAAGCAAAGAGAAATAGTAAGATGTGGGTTTGCGAGACTGCAGTTTTGCTTCTGGGCAAACCACGGGTTTTCATTATGATAAATGTAGAGATGATGCTTTTGTCTCAGTTTCCTCCAGTGCAGGACTCCATGTAAACACTCCATATCAGGTCATTTGTGATGTGATGTAAGGGAACAGGTGAGAAAGGAGAAGGGTGAAGGAGGAAGAGGAGAGTTAATACCAGGAAGTGACCCTGTAGGCCAACTGGTGCTTGGTCCCTTCGGTGGGGGCTTGGATGCTTGTAAGATGTGGTCTCAGAGCTTGAAGGACAAGATTCCATCTATTGAATCCCATGTGTTAAATCAGCCTTCAGATTTCCATGTTACCCATGTGTGAGTGCACAGCTACCTCTATGAACTTCCTGCCTTGCCCATCTGGGCATCTGAGGGAGCATTGCTACATGTTTGTCTCACTGGTCTTGCAGGCAGCTCCTTCAGGCCTTCAGGGAACAGGTCACTATTACAGTCTGTGTTGGAAAAACGGAGATCTCTGAAATATCTCAGAGGTCTCCAGCGCACCTTCCCATGACCAACCTTGTCAACAAAACTCTGTCTTAGGAAGAAAAATACATTTTCATAGAGCCCAGGATGTTTAGCTTCATGTGTCACACAAAAAATCTCACCCATGTCAATTCCTTTCGCTTGCTAAAGAAGGAAATTCAAAACACTGTAGTGATTTTATTTTTTGTAATCTAACAAATAAAGCTAGTCTGATGATCAGGGTTTATAGCTAAGCCACTAGTTAGCCACACACACACACACACACACACACACACACACACACACACACACACACTAAGCCACTAGTTAGACATAGATGACAGGCAGTTGAAAGCGGGGTTTAAATGAGTCCACAAGACCAAAGATAAATGATTAACAGGTATTTATTAGGGAAGCACTTACACAATTAATAGTAAATAACTGCCAAGGTCTTCCAGCTCCTGAAGATAGTCTCTGGAGTTCCGACTACCCCCAAGAGAGTGAGCCAATCCCTCTTCTTCCTTATAAGGGGTCATGTCTGCACACCAGAAGCCACACCCCTAGGATTCGGCCACCACTGAAAATCCACTGGTGAAACAAGATGCCACTACAGTCAGTGGTGCCCACACCTTTAATCCCAGCACTTGGGAGACAGAGGTATATCTCTGAGTTCAAGGCCACCCTGGGCTACATGAGAGTGAATCAGTCTAAAAGAGAAACAGAGCTCACACCTTTGATCCCAGCAATAGAAAGGAATATAAGACAGGAACTCAATGCAGTCTCAGTGCAGTCTGAGGTTCATTGGATCACCCCTTTGGTCTGAACTTTGGTAGAGGTGAGAACTCTCCAGTGGCTAGCTGCTTTGCTTCTCTGATCTTCAGCATTCACCCCAATATCTCTCTCTGGGGTTTTATTATTAATAGCAATTGTTATTTATGCTACAAAACACAAGCTCATACTTTAGCTGTTTATTCCTTAGAGAAGCTGCTCTTTTTTGCTTGTATGCATACATGTGCTCATGTACACACACACACACACACACACACACACACACACACACACACGTAGACGGAAGTTTTTGTCCCACCCTGTCCTGCAGCAATTCAGTCCCAAATAAACACACAGAGGCTTATATTAATTGTAAACTGTTTTATTTATTGCTCAGGCTTATTACTAATGAGCTCTTACAACTTAAATTAACCCATAATGCTTATCTATGTTTAGCCACATGGCTTGCTACCTTTTCTCAGTATGGCATTCTCATCTTGCTTCCTCTGTTTGGCTGATTTGTCTCTGCCTTTCCTCTTCCCATAATTCTCCTAGTCTGGTAGCCCCACCTCTACTTCCTGCCTGACTATTGGCCAAACAGCATTTAATTAAACCGATACGAGAGACAAATCTTTACGTGAATAAGAGCATTATCCCACCTCTCTCTCTCTCTCTCTCTCTCTCACACACACACACACACACACACACACACTGCCTGGGTTGCCACTATGTGACACAATTTCAAAAAGTGTCATTCCCATCCTAAACAGAATTCTGCAGAGCCACAGAGACTATACACTGTGACGCCTGTGCAATACTTCTAAGTCTTCCTACCCACTCCCACCAAATTACCAATCTGCCTTCATATCACACATCAGTACGAGGAGGTGCACTGCTCCATCCCTGGCTCTGCATGTTTCACTTAAAATGCTCCCTGAACTTATGAAAATGTTAACAGCCCTCAATGAGAAGCAGTTTAATCGACTATTAGCACATTCCATGTTAGTATTAAAATAAGTGAAGGTGGTTGGGAGTGAGAGCAGGGAGCAGTGACCAGTGAAGGTTCTAAGTAGCAGAGGAGGCTGGGTAGATGGTACAGCTGGAAGCTTCCAGGAATGAATGGCAGTCTCTTGTGGTCTGAAGTAGAACTGACCACACCCATCCAGCTTGAGGTCCGCTTACTGCCGCTGGAGCATCCCTGAAATTCCATGTTCTACCATAGGCATCAAGTATGTTCTTCAAGTGCCATGTGGACTGTTCAGCAGCTGTGTGTCCTGGGACCTTCAGAGGTCTAGTCCCCTGGGAACACTGCCTGAGACAGCCCTTGAACAGGCTCAGATGGCAGTACTTCCAGGGGACGCCATTTACAGGCCCCCAAGGTTCCCCCGAGTTTATGGAGTAAGTCAACCTAAATTGGAAGAAAAGAATCAACAGATAGTCCTGAACCAAGGCTGTGTTGTTGGAAGTTGTAAGGACAAGGTTGTGGGAAAAAAATAGAAAGACCACCTTGGAAGAACCCAAATGAGCAAGACATGGGCAAGTCTGGCCTGTTGTCTGCTTTTTGAAAGTGCAGTTTTTGTGGTACATAGCCACACCTGCTCTTACCTTATGGTGGCGGAGGTGGGGGACTGGGAAAGAGACAGTGTGGCTTGCTGAGACTAACACATTTACTACCCAGCCCAGTATCAAATAAAACTGCTGAGCCCTGGACAGCAAGGTCTTGATATCCCTGCTTTCCTCTTTGCAGTGCAAAGATTGACCACGGATTGAGAAGCCCACTGGAGAAGGTCTCCATTTTCCATCATAGTCCTAAAACAAGAGGAGAGAGCACACACTGTGTCACCTCCCTATTTGAAGACTGTGTCTCTCTGAGAGGGGTGATGGTTCATCACCCAGAGCATTATATGGCTTCCAAGAACCACAGTGGGTGTTGGCAACATGAACATGGGTGAGGATTGCTCCAAACCAGGGTGTGTTTTAAGGAGATGTCCCCCTAGAGGGTTCATAGGGAGCTTTGCCTATGCCTTAGTTTCTGGGGTTTTTGTTTGTTTGTTTTGTTGGTTTTGTTTGTTTGTTTGTCTTGGGTTTTTTTTTTTTTTTTCTTTGTTTCCATGGCTCTTCCTTTAGGCCCCTGGTTCCCCTGCCTCCTTAACTCTCCTATCTCTTTTCTTTCATCCTCCCTCTTGCCCGCATCTCAGGCCAGCCAGTGCCACCCAGTGGCTTTGACAGGCATTACTTATTTGCTGGCTGCCCTTGAGGTATGGAATAAATTGGGAGAGTCAGGAATCCCTAAGATGAGGGATTTCGAAGGCAGTGGGAAGACTGCAGTCCTCCCCTGACAGCTCCAGACATTAACTTTTAAGGACTTTTACACTTTAGTATAAATGAAAGCTCTCAGGACAGATTTGTTACAGGGAAAGACACCATGACAGCCTCTACAGGTGATTAATCTAGGTTCATTGCTCTAAGCAGAATACTGCACTGGATATGGTTAAGAATACTACAGTGTAGATCTTAAAATGTACCCAGAGGACAGACCTCAATGACTCTCCACCTGATTTCTAGGGTCTCTTCCTGAGCTCAGATTTCCCTAGTCCAGCAACACCCCAAGGGTCCTACACTGATCTTTGTCTCCAAGCACTGTGATTACAAGCACATATTCCCCCTATACCTGACCGTTGTATGTACACTGGGGATTCAAGCATTTTACCAATTGGGCTGTGTCCCCAGCCTTCAGGTGGACATTGTGGTTCCCAGCACCAAGAGAAGCAAATAGAAACAGACAAAACAACAGCAAAGCAAACTGTAGCTGAGCAAGTCTAGTTCCTGAACTGGATAGATGGGATGACTCTACAAGTCCTCCATCTGGGAGCACTTCAGGAGAGTGGGTAAAGTGCACAGTGACTAGAAGCCCATCGCTTCTAGGAAGATGGCCCTCAACATTGAACTCTGGCTCAGAATTAGACCGAACCACTTAAAACTGCAGATTGTTGCCCATTTTTAACCGCAAAATCAATTTGAGGACATGATTCATCACGGAATTAACCCTCACAGAGTTGAATGCACAGCTCCGATTTCCTTCCTGGGTGCCTTTCCTTCACTTCGAAGTTCTGACTGTTTTTGTCGTGAAATTTTTTTCTCACACGGCAAACCAGGATGATTTTAGTAATGACAGAATGTCAACTAGAAAAGACCTGGAATCTCACCTTATAAGGTAGGCATCTATTTAAAAGTCTTTAAACTGTTTAGATCTATTTAGAAATCCTTTCACAGCAGCTCATGATACTCCAAAGAATTCTACCACCCCCTTTTTATTGATTGAGATTTTATAGATGTATAGAATGTACTTTGACCAAGTCCATCCCTTATTCCCTTTCCTCCAATTTTTTGCCCCACTACTATGATTCCCTCCCCCAATTTCATGTATTCTCTTTAAAATATTTATTTAGCCCACACAAGAATCTACTTAGTGTTGCAGTACACATATAGTGTAGGGCATCTGCTGGGCCATCAATAACCACCAGGGACCACATCCCTGAAGGAAACCGAGTCCCTACTCTAAAGACTTTTTGAAGCCATAGTCTCTCAGTGATAGACCATTGAAGATGGAAGAGTCATTTTGAACCAGCTTCCTTCCCAGTTGTGCCTTTCCCCACTGTATGGTTTCTTTTCCAGCATAAGGAGCTGGTCTCTTCCATGTTGTCTACTTTATTGGTTTACGAGGGTTCTGTGCCTTCTAGACTCTCCTCCTCCACACGCCTCATCATTCCTATTTGCCTTCTGTCTCCTCTCTCCAAGCGAAAATGAAGACAATATTTGCTCACCTCCTCTTCGATAACGACAACCCAACAGTGCCACCGAACGGTCCTGCATCATGGAAGGATTTGTCAGCCCCAGTACGGGTGTCCACGGAGCTGATGATTTGTCATCTGGCTAGGGACGAGGAGTTTTGAGTTCTACCCCAGTTATGAGAGTGACTCATGGTCTGCTTTTAGGGAAATTTATTGAACTTTGAATCTGGCTACTTGTCCCCATAAAAGTAGCGTGGAGGCCCTGGCTTACTCATATTTTGTTTTTACGAGGTAGGGGCCATCTATCAAAATCCTCCAAGTTTGTGTTGATTTTTTTCAGTGTTTTGAATTCCTTAAGTTCTTTTAAAAAATTTCTTTCTGTGGGTTTGTACGATTGCTGGTATGAAGAATAAATTGATTTAAGAACAAGGAACTCTCCTCTTGGATTCTCCAGCTCCTCGGGTGGTAGTCCTCATCCAAGATGTGACAGGAGACTCCTCAAGAGGAGGTGCCATTTCATCTCGGGTTAGCTGAACAAGAAGAGTCCAGAATGTTCCCTTCGGTCACTGAATCAGATATTCTGCATTATTGAATACATTATTGTAACCCCCACTGGACCAACGCTGCTGGGCATGACAGTCACTGAAGAGTTGAATCTTTGCTATCATGGGATTAACTCAAGGTTGTTGAGGCAAAAACAACAAATATGGGAAGTTGGGAGAGAAAAAAAAAACTTCTCAAAAGCACAGCACTGCCAAGACTACACTGTAATCATCCTTATTTTCTTTTTAATGTATGAAGTTTACCCAATAGGGTCATGAGATGCAAAAACAGAATAATAGGTGAAAGCACAAAGGGCTGAGTTTAGGACAAGTTTAATCAGAACCAGGAGTAAGCTCTGCCTTTGTTGGTTTCCCTTGCTGTGACAAAGCACAGACTTGAGGAGAACATGGGCTATTTGGCTTCCATTTTCAGTCAATGTTAGGGCAGGAACCTGGAGGCAGGAACTGCAGCAGGGGCCATGCAGGAAGCATGGTGGTGGCCTTGGCGTCAGGAGCACGCAGACAGCTGCTTGCTCACATCCAAGAGCATTAAGAAACAGAGAGACGAGGATGAGGTGCTGCTATGCCATATCTTGACTGTGGCAGTTCTTGTGTGATAAATTTGTCAAAATGCATGGAAGCAACTAGAATGGATGGATACCACTATGCTGGTAATGCCACTGTGTTTAAAGGTGTGTGGGGGGGGCGAGGGGTTCAGTTTCTCTGACTTGGTTGTTAATATGTAAGATGGGAACAGTATGGCTTTGACTGATGGCATGATTATTAAATGTTCTGTGTCACTTTTACTTACAGTTGCCATGCTTAACTCTTTTGTTCTTTATAAATGTTTGTCTGTTTCTTTTCTGGCAGTGTTGAAGATCATGCTAAGCAAGTATTCTACTATCAAGTTTTAATCTCCAACGTTTTCCTCGGGGAGGCCAGAGGAAACATGGGTCTCACTATGCAGCCTGGGCCAGCCTGGAGTTGACCTCCCCCCTCTTCCTGAGTGCTGGGATTATCAGTTTGCTCCTTTGGGCCTGGCTTTCTTTCATTTTTTAAAAAAATAAATAACCAAATAGGCTACAAAAATCCCTTCCTTTCCATTTTATTTATTTATTTATTTTCCTGTGTTGGTTAAGATGAATGAGCCAACAATGAACAGGACCTATGAAAATGGCATTCTCTTTTCATCCCTAACTGTCCGTCATCTTTCTATTACTATGAAAAAAATACCTGCTGAAAAGCAACCAAAAGGCTTATTTTGGTTTTCAGCATCAGAGCTTCCAATCTATGGATGCTGGGCTGTGCTCTGTAGCCTGAGGTGAGGTCCAATACTATGGTGAGAAGCCCATGAGGAACAAATTTGTTCACTTCATAGCAGCATGAAGGAGTGCCAAGGTCTCAATATGCCCTTCAAGAGCAAACCTCCAATGGCATACTCACTCTTCCATTTAGATCCTGCCTCCTATAGTTATACCACTTCTGGGTGGCATCATCAGGGTTAACTAAGCCTTCAACAGATGAATCTATGAGAGGCACTTGAAGTCCAAACTGCTACAGAGTGCTCACATCTGTAATTCCAGCACCTAGAAGGCTGAAGCAGAAAGATGCTGAAAGTTCAAGGAGAGCCTGGGCTACAGGGTGAAATCAAGACCAGCATGTTCTCCACGGGAAGATCACATCTCAAACAAACAAGTAAACAATAATGCAATTTCAATGCTATATGAGACTTTTGGTGTGTTTGTTAGGGAAATCTTTGATCAAATAAAGAAGGTTTCTTGGCATTTTTGGTCTCAAGAATTATTTCTTCTTCAATATAAGTGAATATTGACATTTTTACTGAATGTTTTCCTGCATCTACTGGAATCATGTCAATCTGTAATCTGTAAGTAGCAGGACTCACCTGTTGTTTTTGTTGTGTGTGTGTTTGTGTGTGTGTGTGTGTGTGTGTGTGTGTGTGTGTGGGTGTGTGGGGGTGAGAGAGAGAGAGAGAGAGAGAGAGAGAGAGAGAGAGAGAGAGAGAGACTAAATCATCACCTGGCCAAAATCTAATGTAAATACAGTATTTGTCCCCAGTCCCTGTTATCTTTGGAGAGAAAATGACACTCAAAACACTCCATGGAGTTCTAGAAGGTACAGAGGAACTCTTCTGTCACATTTTGAAATGTCCCTTTTTCAAATTACCCTTAGCCTGTGTATTTGTATATACCTCAGTTGAAGCTTTGTTTGACTTCCTCATTCCTCCAGATTGATCTTGTCTGTAAAATTTTGGACTCAGTCAATAAACAATCCATTCCTTTTGCAAGAGTAAAAAGTACACATACTGATTTCTGGATTCCCTCAGCCATATTACTAGTTTACATTCTAGTACCTCTACTCGTTAAGAAGGGAGAACGGAGCTCAAATCTAGGAACGTGAAGGTTTATTCTGCAGAGTTTAGGAGGTGGGGGGAGAAAACAAGGAAGAGTCTAGTAGCACCTAGAATCTTCTAGCAGGAAGTTTCTCCTGGTGACATAGGTGCCTGGCTGGCTCCAAGTGCGGTTTAGTAAACTCTTGAAAATTCTGTTCTCAAGGGAGAGCGGGGGAGATGCTGTGTTTAATGAATAAAAGCATGGGCTTTGGATTTAAAGGACTCAGTTTAAGTCTCTGGCTCAACAATTAGTGCCCTGGTGACCATGGATACATCATTTAACCTCTCTATTTTTGGATTCATTGTCTCTGAAATACAGATGGAAGTAGGTGGCTTTGAGTGCCCGGCACACAATAGATTCTCAAAAAATCTTGACTGCTATTCCAATAGCAGTTGCTTAGGCATAAAGTGACGTAATAAATAGGGTCCTTCATGAGAGGGCACTTAGAGGAGTTTTTCTGGGTTTTGTTTGGTTTTCAATTTCTATCATGAGGGAAAAATATGTAATTTTTGAAATGCAGTGATGAAGACTGGAACAAAGGGAGCCATGACCCACGCCTTGCCATTTACATAGCTTCTTTATTATTTTGTGCTCTGTAATACTTCAGACAGTTATATAATCTCTCCTCTTTTGGGGACTGTCAGGATGTGACATCCGGGAAAGAAAAGAAGAGGGTGCACTTTGTGTGAGATGCAAGGTAGGGTAGGAAAGAGAGTTGCTTCATCCCACTAGTAACGTGGTGGAAAGCAAGTCTAAGCACTGCCCGGGAGACAGCTTTCTCCACTGGATCTGTGCTTTCTGTACACAGATTTAAGCCCCTCTCTGTCCAGCCTGTTGTCATACCCTGGATTCGAGTCTGTGTTTCATCCCCAGTTCTGCTGGCTTCCAAGTCTCACTAGTCCTTGAAGTCTAGTTTGGATTGCCCCATGGAAGAGAGAATACATCTTTCTGAAATACATGCTCCTATGTCAATCTACATTAAAGAACTATAATGGAATTTTCATCTACAGCAAGACAAGAGTAGTCCATCAGAGCTTACCCCCCCATCTCCTGCCTGCCTCCCTGAACTGCCTTCTCTATCCCCTTCTTCCTTGACTTCCCCTCTCTTTCACCCAGGACCTCCTAGGGACCATTTTCATCTGTGCAGCAGGCCATCCCATCTCCTAGCCTCTCTGAAGGAATCTCTTCTTCTCTTCTCTTCTCTTCTCTTCTCTTCTCTTCTCTTCTCTTCTCTTCTCTTCTCTTCTCTCCTCTCCTCTCCTCTCCTCTCTTTTCTTGTCTTCTCTTCTCTGTCTCATCTCTCTGTCTGTCTCTGTCTCTGTCTCTGTCTCTCTCTCCCATCATGGGAAACTGAACCCAGGGCTTTATACATGCTAAGGAAACTCTCACACTGGGACACATCCCCAGATGGGTAAGAGGAATTTCTTCATCTTGCTGTTCTCCTTCCTCCCTCTCTAGATTCATAAATGGGAGAAAAATCTTAGTGGCTTTTTCAAATTTTTGCACAAGACCCATTATTATTAGATTTATTCACTTAGAAGCACATGGATACTTGGAGCCAAAGGAAAGATGAGCAGAAGAGGAAAGGCAAATGCTAAATTACATAAAAGAAGGAAGGTTCTGCTGCCCGAGTTTTGACCCTGCTCCATGATGGACGGGCCTTGATAATGTTGGTAACTGTGGACTTTTAAGGCTACTGCTTACCTGTCAACATCATCCTTACAATATGACTACCTATCCATTAGCACCTGAATTTAAAAAAAGTCTAGTATTAATGCCAATTACCAGTGATGAACCTCTGCTTGGTGGCACCCTGCCTTGGTGTCTAACTTGAAAGGTGCCACTTTTTAGGTGGCCCATCTGTTTTATTTTCTGAGACACAAACCCAGCCTGGAAAACAAGTTCAATCTGAACACACTCTAAGGAAAAAAGGCTATTTTTTGGCAAAGCAGTGTGTCCCACGTGGGAAATTATATATTGAGAGAAGTACCAGACTAGGAAGAAAGAATAAAAAATGATTTTCAGATCCTCTATGGTTGTGACCGGGGTGGGTGTGGGGAGATAGGTTTATTCCCTTTCTGTCCCACATGCTTGCTCAACAGCCATAGAAAGCATGCCTTCTAGGGGTCTGAGCATCAGGCTACGGTATGGTATGTCCATAGCCCTCTGTGGTCTGTCAT